GTGTGTCTAGACTACTGAGATTTTTCAAAAAAAGTGGCCTTTTAAAAAAAAAAGTCACCTGCATCTAGACTGCTGTCGTGATCTTTTGACATTAAATCAAAAGAACATGGCAATTTTTCAAAATTGGTAAACCTATTTTTACCAGGAAGAACACCTTTTTTCGAAAGAGCTCTTTCGAAAAAAGGTGTTCTTGAACGCAAACAGGGCTTTTTCAAAGAGTGTGTCAAAATTGCTTGGGTTCTTTCTTTCGAAAAAGTGGATCACTTTTTTCAAAACTCTTGTGGCTGTCTAGAGGATCTCTTTCAAAAGAGGCTTTTTCAAAAGAGCTCTTTTGAAAAAGCTTTTTTTGGGCTTGTAGTCAAGATTTCTCTCAGTCTCCTTAGAGAGAAATCAATCAGATTAGAAGAAAAAAAAAACCTATTGAAGAAAAGTCAAAATTCCATCCATGGCAGAATAGTGGATCAAATTAAAAAAGATAAAAAAAAACCACCCTCTACTTTGTAACTTTTTGTTTTAAGATTACATTCTGCCAGAGAGGAAAGCACCAGATCCAGAAAAAAACAAATATATGGCATGTACCAGTATTCTTCTTGCTATTGTTGAAAAGGAATAGTAAATGAGTCAGTACTGAAAAAAATAATTTTCTCATTCATTTTTAGCTCAACTAATAGGATGAATTGGAACAAGCAGAGCAAATTAACATCTATTACCCAAAAGTCACATTCTAGCCTATACAGAGTTGATGTTTTTAGCCCAGAAGGCTTGCAATCTCATTCATTATATATCTGTTAGCAAATAAACTTGGTGAAATAAAAAAGCCCCCAAAAACAGTAGCATCTTTCTATTCTTTAATAATGAAAAACTGATGACTTATATGACAAATATTACTAAAAGAAACAATGATACTCTATATTGAGAGATTTTAATCTGTAGCCAAATATACTACTTTTCTAGTATAGGCTAAACTGGTTAATGATAACCTACTATCATTTTCAAAGGAAGGAAAGAGCAAACTTGAAATAAATAATACTAACAGCCTCAGTGTCCCACTTTCTAACAATGTGAGACATTTGAGACATATTAGCTAGAGTCTTTAAATGTGAGAGAAATGTAACTTGGATACCTGGGCACACAGTTTGCGAATGTTGAACTGACATGCTTAAAGATATGGCAGAGACCATACCACAGCAATATATGTCCAAGGGTATGTCTACACTACCCTGCTAGTTCGAACTAGTGGGGGTAATGTAGTCATCCGCAGTTGCAAATGAAGCCCGGGATTTGAATTTCCCGGGCTTCATTTGCATGAAGCCGGCCGGCGCCATTTTTAAATGCCAGCTAGTTCGGACCCCGTGCCACGCGGCTACACGTGGCACGGACTAGCTAGTTCGGATTAGGCTTCTACCCCTCGTGGATGTCAAAGCAAGGGCATGGGATGTGGTGGGCTTATGGCGGAAGTCTAGGAGTGTGGGAGAGTGCAGGAGTCAGGGTTGGGAGTGAGGAGTGGCTCAGGGCAGGGAGCTTGGGATGTGGGTGTCAGGGCTGGAGATGAGGAGGGGCTAGGGAAGAAGATGGGGCTTGCAGGAGTTAGGTTTGGGTGTAAGAAGAGGTTCAGGGAAGGGTGTGGGGATAAAGGAGTCAGGGCAGTGGGCTAGCAGAAGTTCAGGGGAGGGTGTGGGAGGCTCAGGGGAAGAGGAGGAGGCCCTGGCTGCCAGCTTCTCCTCAGGCCCAGCCTGGAGTGGCAGGTGGTGTACCCTGCTCGCTGATTTCTCCCCAAGCTCAGCCCAGGAGTGGGGGGTGGGGGAAGGGCAGGAAGACATAACCTACCAGTTGGCTTCTCCCCATTAGCGACCCAGGAGATGGGGGGAGCTGCACACCCCGCTCACCAGCTTCTCCTTGGGGCTGGCCCAGGAGTGGTAGGGGCCTCACAGCATCTAGGAGCTGCTCCCTAGGGCAGGCCAGGGTAGAGGGCCTATGTTGCCAGCCAGTGGCTGCTCGATAAGATGCTTACTGCCCATGTGTGGTCATGCATGAGTATAACTGTCCTTGTTATGAAACTCCTCCCTTTCCATTTGATATGTAACAATTGCTTTCCATACACATCCTATTACCCTGGCATAACCAAACGCTGACCTTGCTTTAAGTTATAAGAGGAAGCTGCATAGCAAATCTGGTGGTCTTAGCTGTTACCATTTAGGAAAAGTTCTTAAACACACTCACAGATGGATAGAGAGACAGATGCACATTTCTAAAATGCATAGATAGATAGATAGATAGATAGATAGATAGATAGATAGATAGATAGATAGATAGATATTCAAAGGAATTAGAATTTACTAATAAAATTATAATATGCATTGGGGAAATGTATTCCAATATTAGTTTTTAGACATAACAGAATTGTAACAGAATAGGCTCATTTTACTTGCAGTAAGTAAGTACTTACAGGTTCCTGAACAGACTAAATAAATAAATAAATACCCATAATGTTGAACAATAAATTATTGAGGACAGTACAGGAATTATTGCAGACATTTCATATTCTGTGCTATTCATGTCAGAATTATCATAATTTTTCATTTTGGACTTCCAAGTATTGTAGTCTTAAATGCTCTTTTAAAAAAAATAAACTCCCTTTTTTAGATACAGTTTGAATGTCCATGTAAACAGCTACAAAGAGGACACTGTTGTTTATGAAGTTTTCAGCACACCACTGAAAAAACGTTTAGGTGCAAGTGAGTTGGGGAAAATATAAGTAAACTCCAGACTGCATAGCTCAGTTTCCAAACTGATGACTAATTCTCATCCCCATCAAATGTTTCCAGATAAGCAAGAAACGAAGTAAGAGGAACATACACTGGTAAGACCAAAAGGCAATTGCATAACCCTATCGATTCTCATTTCTTTTGACCTTTTATGTGCACTGTGTCAAGCACACAAAAAGCAGCTGAACTGAGTTTGTAGTTTGCTCAGCACTACCTTTTTAGTTTGATGCACAATCAAAAAAGAAAGAGAAGTGTAACAAGGATCAATACCGATGCACAGAGAAGGTTTAAACTTCTACACAATTGCATGGAGAGCATAAAACTGTGTGAAATATAGGGAAATGCTTAGTGCAGATTGCAGAAAAAATTGTCAAGCTATTAATGGTATTTACTCGAGTTCTGTGATTAACATGGCAAAGCTGTCCTAAGGTATATTGCAACACCAGAAGAACCTTTCACATTCTTTAACTCAAATTTTTTCCTTTGTACATGCAATAGAAGATTATTATTATCGGCAAAATTCAACCTAAATTTTTTCAGTTGGTTTCTCTCTTCTATTTTAATTTATACGTCTCAAAAATGCTGATAGAAAATTATATATATGAGGGCAAATATTCATCGTTATGGGATTTTTTAAAAAATGGAATTATCTCAGCCACTCAGAATTCAGGAAGTAAATGAAGGGCCTTAAGCAAAGTCCATTTGAACTCAATGAAAGTCTTTCCATTATTTTCCTTAAACTTTTTATTAGACCCTTGAGGAGGCAAAAATGTGCATTTTTATTTCATTTAGTAGTTCCCTGTACCCTATTTGGCTCTGGGAGAATCTGACTGGCAGAATCACTGAACAGTTAGACTGTGTCTACATTGGCACCCCTTTCCGGAAAAGGGATGCTAATGTAGACTTTGGAATAGGCAAATCCGCGGGGGATTTAAATATCCCCCGCAGCATTTGCATTAACATGGCTGCCGCTTTTTTCCGGCTTGGAGAAAAGCCGGAGAAAAGCGCCAGTCTAGACGTTATTCTCCGGAAAATAAAGCCTTTCAAATAGGAATAAGAGATCCTCCGAAAAAGGCTTTATTTTCTGGAGAATAACATCTAGACTGGCGCTTTTCTCCAGTTTTTCCCCAAGCCGGAAAAAAGCGGCAGGCCAGCGGATTTGCCTATTCCAACGTGCTACATTAGCATTCCTTTTCCAGAAGGGATGCCAGTGTAGACGTAACCTTACTTTTTCAGTAATGGTACTATGAACATGGAAATATCTCTAACCTGAGAGGCTACTACAATCCATCTGCTCTGCTTCCTGTACTCCCTTCAAATGCAGCAGAGAAACTCTAAAATATACATGAAAAAAGAAAAAAAAATACCAGAAAGCAAATAGCGTTGTGACACCACTGAAAGGGAAATGGTTAAATATTTAACTCAGTCCCCTTTTGTGGCCCTTCTTCTGTTCCTATTGCAATCTGCTGGAATTTTGCTTTTGACTTAATTAGGGACAAAATTATGCCCTTTTTTCTAATTCTGTTCTGCTCTTTGCTGCTCCCTTCTGTACAATTTTTATTACCAAAATAACAGTAATTTGTTTATGTTTTTGTTTACATTCAACTAACCTTATCCTTCCCTACCCCATTCAGTTGTGAAAACATGGGAACAAATGTATTCCATTTATGGTGGGGTGAGGAGTTTTTCTGAGCTTTATCAAGGATAGTTGGGAACAAAAGAGAAGAATGAAGAGAAAGGAATAGCTAAGTAAAGAACCAAAAGGCTTAGGCAAAAATTTTCAGAAACTTCCTTTCTTCTGGCTACCTCACTTGCTGGGTCCCCAGCTTTGGACATATATGTCTTCATTTTCAGAACTGTTGAGCACCTAAAGCTCCAGCTAAAGCTGTGAGAGAACAGAACTTCTAAAAACTGGGTTCTACATGTCAAGAAATTAAAGAACCCAAAATAAGGGGACACTTCCTAAGCTTTAGCTGTCATTTTTCACAGTTCCCATTTTAGTAATTTGAAAATATATTTTGTTTAGTATTTCCATTACTTTCATTTATAATGTTAGAATGTTCATGCTACAGTGCTATTACCTTATATACAAAGTATCCTCCAGAACCAATAGAAGCCAATTAATCTTTCTCTACATTAGTTTTCTATTTATAAAAAAAGAGGATTATCATGACAATACCTATTTAGACTTTCTATGTCTGCTCCTCTAGAAACACACATTAAAAGCTGTTTTACCTTGTCACCTTCAGAAAAAGTTATTCCATCGATGGCTCTTTTCCAAGTAATTTCTGGGACAGGTTCTCCTTCTGCTTCACATATCAATGTCGCTTGGCCATTCTCATATGTGGTTTCATTTTTAAGATGCATTATCTGAGGCTGTACTGTTAAAAATATAAATTATTTTACTCATTATGCATCAAAAACCTTATATACCAGTCTATTTTAAAATGTCTGTTTTGTTTTAAAAGTTCATTCATGTTTACTCTGTTGGGATTAGCAGCAGCCCTATTTCAAAATCTATAGGGCTGCACAGCTAAAATAACCTCAGAGTCGAACTTATTTTTTTTCAAAACAATGTAAGTCAATTTGAACACAGACCTTGCACTGTTAACAAGTTAAATATATCCTATGGGTGAAAAAAGAAAAGAAAAAATAGCAGTATTTTAATATTAAGGTGGAGTAACCAAGAACTCAAGAGTCCAGTCATGACATGTTCAAGCTGACACCTGAATTCCACTTCTGCTCCTTCACATGCCTTAAAACACTGACTGAAATATTCTCAAGTGTGAGGATGGCCCCACAATTAACATTTAAAATGAAATAGCAACATCATTCCACGTATGTGTGTGTGTGAAAAATTCACATTTTTGAGTGCCAGAGTTAAGTCAACTTAACTCCGAGGATAGATGTGGCTAAGTCAATGGAATAATTATTTCATTAATCTAGTTACAGCAACTTGGGGAGATGAATTATCTTAATTGACAGAAAAAAAGCTCTTCTTTTGATGTGGGAAGCATCTTGCTGTGACACTGCAGCTGTGCAGTGGTAGCATCTGTAGTATAGACATTCCCTGAGATTATTCAGCTATTAAGACAGATCAATGTCCTACACTACATTAACTTTGAAGCAGTCTAAATCATAGGGCTGAAAAGATTTTAGCTTAATAATTTAACTTTTCATCACTGAAAAATATTGAACAGATTTTCTCCAAACTGTGGCTCTGATCCTAAAGTGATCAATGCAGGTGGACTCTTGTCCACTGGGGATCCACATGAAGGTGAAGGTCCACAGGCACAGATAGCATTATGGGACCAGAGCCTTTATTTCTGCTAAATTATTGTATATAAAAGCCTCAGTTGGAATACAAAAGTCACCTTTGTGCTTGGTTTCCTGGGAGGCATATAAATAATGTAACAGCCTCAATGCAGCATGCCCCACTTAAGTATAATATTCCTTAACAACAATTAATATGTAATATTTAAAGTAACAAGTGCAACTATATGTTTTCAAATCTCAGAAAGGATTTGGTCAGTTCTTCACACACATAAATCATCTTGAAGCAAAAACTAAGTATGAAAAGAAATAGCCTAATGATGGGATTGTTTAGAAAGTAATGTATGAGAAAACATGACTCAGACATTATTTCCTTGATTTCTCCTATCTATAGTGGTTACTGCTGTCTGTTGTTACAATCCCAATTGCCTCTTTGAAGGTGAACACAGGTGTGACAAGTGATGATATATATAACTGTGCCAAATATAGTTGAGAAAGCTAACAATTTTATATTCTCTAAGCATTTGCTGCTTATTTTGGGACTAACTCTATAGTCTTACCCTTGGTGTAATTCCAATGAAGTAAATGTGATTACATGTGGAACAAACAGGTGAAGAATTATTTATTTTTCCTGTTTATTAAATTCAGTAACCACTGGAACAACACAAGACTGTTTCATGTTAAAATTCTAGATATGGAACTACCCATAAAAAATGGTTCCCCTAAGACTGTCTGCATCCATGAAGCAAGAAGATAAGACATGGTCAAAAGAATAGAGGCATAAGACATCCATGAGAGGAGCTAGGTTCTCTAATATTACAGGTTGTACCTCCATTAATCAGGACTGCCTGATCCAGCAACATCCTTGCTGGACCACAGATGCTCCTGGACCACAGAGCCCAGGAACAGGGAGGTCTGGAGGTGGGGCAGGAGTGCCAAAGGGGGCACCAGCAAATCAGCCGGGAACCCAGTGTGTGTGTGAGGGGGTGGGATGAGCTGCACGGCAGGGAGATGGGTGGCACAGTGGTGGACATGGAGCTCCAGCCTCAGTGGTAGCCTGGAATGAGATGTAACAGGTAATTCGAACTAAGGACTTAGTTCGAATTACCATTTAATTGCCACGTGTAGCTGCGGGCAGTTAGTCTGGACTAGTGGCATTTAAAAACAGTGACCGGATGGGAACATGCAAATAAAGCCAGGGATATTTAAATCCCAGGCTTCATTTGAAAGTTCGAACTAGGGGACTAGTGTAGACATACCCTGAGTGTCTACACAACCATTCTATTATTTTGAAATAATTTTGAAATAACGGATGGCTTATTCTGAAATCTGTAAACCTCATTATACAAGGAATAACGTCTATTCTGAAATAGCTATTTCAAAATAAGGCGTGTGTACATGCTCCACTGCTGCTATTTTGAAATAGCGTCTGATCAGCACCATTCTAAGTTATTCCTCCCCAGTGTCTTCTGGGGCTCTAAATTGAGATACCATGTGTACATTAGGGAAGCGTACCTCAGACTAATTTTGAGGCTTCCCTGTAGAGTAGCTATTCCAGAATAGCTTATTTCAAAATAGCTGTGCAGTGTAAACATACCCTAACTGTTTGAAATAAGATTATTCCTCAAGGAAGGCAGGAGTACAGATTTTGAAATAACCATCCTGTTATTTCAAAACAACAGTCTTGGAAGTGTGGACACTCCACTTATTATTTTGAAATAAGTGTGTGTGTGTGTGGGGGGGGGCATATTTCAAAATAACTCTCTAGTATAGACCAGAATGAATTAAGTGTGCTTGTCATTACAGCAGGGTATTTTTATCAATTTATACATGACAAACAATTCAATTTTCCCAAAGAGATTTATGTTCTAAACCTTGCAACTCAAATTTCTTGATCTTTATGGGTTCTTCCATTCTAAACTTCATAAAGACCTTCTTCCAGTGGGCCACTATAAGAGGAAAACTTTGAACTTGACATTTTAGACAAAAGCAGCTGACATTTAAAGGACTAACTACTGATTAATCAGGGAACATTCCTAGCTGAAAGTCATTACTAAGAAGGAGAAAAGCTTGAAAGCGACTAAAGGATATTATTTCATTGCTCTGTTTTTATAGGTCATTAGTGAATTATGATCTTTTGACCAAAAGGTCTGCAATGTATTATGAAACTTGCTTAACTTTTAATTATACAGGTAGGTTAGTAAGATAGTATAAAAATGAGTACTATATATCTATTCCACAGCAAGGTATCAGGACTACAGTGGATAGGAAAATTAGAATAGACTTTTAAAATCTGTAAATGTTCTCTCTCCAATTGTCGAGGAATGCCACTAATGAAACCACAGAATCTTGGGATGCTAATCCAGAAAAGCAGAAGATTTATGTTAATTTCTTCTGCAACAAATGCTAAAGCACGTACTATAAAATGTATTAACAATTTGATCTTTCTGAGAGTTCTGTCTGAAATGAAAAAAGCAAGGAAAGAAAGGACTTGCACTCAAGTTTAGTTGAAGTGAAAAACATTATGCAGAAAGCAAAATGGACAAACCCCAGTGAGAAAAAAAAATCACAAATGGGGCATTGACAAAGAAACTGAACATTCACCAGACAAACAGCACTTACTGGTCTGCATCACTCTGCATCCCATAACCCTTCCCTCCACCCTCAGCCACCCTGCCTCCTCCCTCTCTCTCAGCACCTCCTTACCCTGTACTGCAGTGGGGTGGGAGCCATATGGCTTCCCCCACTCTCAGGGGGAGGCCGGAGCAACGCACCCTCCTCCCTCATGGGAGCGGAGGTAGTAGTTGAAATTGAAATTTCAATTTCACACGTGCCCTCTCCCCTCATGTGGGAGGGTAGAGCAGCACACCCTTTCCCCTCCTGGGGGGGACAGAACCACACACTCTCCCCTTTCACGGAGGGGGGATGGAGCCCTGAGGCCTCCTCTGTCATGGAGGAGGAGATGGGGGACATGTTGCCTCCCCCCTTGCAGTCAGAGGAAGAGAGCCAGGTCTCCTGCAGCCTCAGGGGAGACCGGCAGCTGCAAGGAGAGCCAGGTCCACCTACCCCCAGAGAGGGGGATTGGTGAGTATAGCGAGCAGGGGCCACAGACCCCTAATAAACTTTATCTACTGAATAACAATTATCCATTATCAGTATTCATTGAAGAGTATATGGAATCTTTTCAAATCTGTAACACTCATTTCCAACATCTATCTATCCAATATCTATTTAAATCAAATCTTAGGGGGGACCTGGAGCAAGCCAGGAATCAGCTGTCCGAGCACATACTGGGTCCCCCATGCTGAGCTTCAGCCTTTTAAATGTATTAAGAGCTTGACAGCTCTTAATACATTTAAAAAGCAGAAGTGCAGTGGAGTTAGCTCCCAGGGCCAGGAGCTAATCCTGCTGCAGCTCCCCATGCTTATCAACTAATCGACTAATAGATGGAAATTCCAGCAACTAGTCAATTTGTTGATTAAACTAAATTTAACATCCCTACCTCTGGGAAGATTTCTAGTGTTTAATCAGGTATTGATTGGCCTCGTTTTTTTTCTCTGAAGTTTAACCAATTTAATAAGTGCAGAGGAAACATTGCCCACCTGTACAGGCTTCAATCAGCGTGGATGATAAATCTGGAACAAATGAAGCAAGTGAGAGTGGGGGAATAATTATGTCCCAAAGGGCACCTCCCATATTAGATGTACTGCAGCATCTCTATTTGGTCCTTTTGGGAGCTGAGGCTCCTTCTTGAACACTGTTTTCAGAGTAATGGGTTTGGAATATGTTGTATTATGTCTAAGAAAGGTAAACTAGGAGATGGTAGTTATATACTCTCACTCTCCGAAAAAAGTGGGCAGAGGGACATATTAGCCATAGTATTCCTTCACAGATTGCCTCACATCTCTTCTGTTTGAGATCAGATGTAAGGAACTGCGTAATGACAATGAAAGCTTTGCTAAATTTCTTACAATGAATGATAAACACTGGCTATTTTATCTTTCTCTGCAGTATAACATTTAAGCAGCATTGTGAACAAAAATGTTCTCTTAGAACGTTTTGAAATGAATTGAACCCATCATTGAAAACAATCACAATGACATCTGCA